TGATGTGGAAAAAAAACAAAACAAAACAAAAAAAAAAAAAAAAACGATGTCTGTTTAAATAGCCAACTGAGCTCCAGGAGATGATCCCATTCTGAACACCTGAGCATCATTTAATGGTCAGGAAGCAGCTGAGTGTAGCCTCCCCCCATAGGGGGGCTATGTGGAGTTTTGCCTCCTTGGGAGTCTTTTGGATCTGTTGCTTATTTGGGTCTTGACATCCACAATGAGTATAAGTGTTCTGGTTCTCCTGGACAAGTTTGCTTCTTCTGTGGGGCATTCTGAGGGTGTTTGACTTCCTATAGAACTGTGGCTGCTTGGAGTGCTGGGAGGTAGGGGAAGGTGAATGACAGACGTGGTCGTGGTGTCTCAGCATTGCCTTTCAGTTTTCAAAGTCGTGGATTTGGCTTTAGAGATAGCAGCAATAACTTCTGTGATTTCTCTGTCGTTTTGACGAATAGCTTGATACATAAGGGCATACGAGGATCTTGATGAAGTTGGAATATTGTGTCTGTGGTTCTCGACCTGTAAGTCACGGGTGGGGGGTTCTCGTGTCTGATATTCTGCATATCAGATTCACATTACAATTGATTAACAGTAAATTATAGTTAATGAAGTAACAATGAAATGATTTTACGGTTGGGGGTTACAACATGAGGAATTATATTAAAGTATCACAGCATTAGGAGGATGGTTAAGAACCACTGTTCTATTGTGTTTAACTTAAATAGATGGGTGCCCTTTTTCTATAGAATAAGTTAACTAGAAATGACAAAGTAATGATGAGTACTTAGATCTTCCTCCCTCCCGCCTCCTCCCTCCCTCCCTCTTTTTCTTGTGTATGGTTTTCTTTGAGACAGGATTTGTCTGTGTTAAAAGCTCTGGCTGTCCTGGAACTTGCTTTGTAGACCAGGTTGCCTCCGAATTTACAAAGATCCATCAGCCTCTGCCTTCTGAGTGCTGGGATTAAACGTGTGCACTCCCACCACCTTTCTTTCAATTGTCTTCCTTGAATAATTCTGTGGTGGGTGAGTTACAAAGTGTAGTTCACATAAGCTGTTTTCATTTTATCTTATTTGATGGTTGGGGATGGCCCATATTTAACTGTGGTGATACACCTTTAATCCCAGCACTCAGAGCAGAGGCAGGTGGATCTCCAAAAGTTCAGGGACAGCCAAGGCTACACAGTGAAACCCTGTCTGGGGGGGGGGTGGAATCTGTAGGCCACTTAACAGCAGGCTGACAAACAAAACTGTCCAAACATACTGAAAGAATGTTGGTAGTAAGCTAATGAGTTCCAAAGATTACATTCCTTCCATAATTTCCTCATTGTTTGGATTGCATTTTAACTTCTACATTTCCTGACCATAAGATCTTGTTTAATAGAATAGCCCATTTCTAGTTTTAACCTTATTTTAGGATGTTTCTCTAAGATCTCTTTTTTCCCTTGGATTTGATTGTTCCAATCTAAGCTATAACTTTAATTCTTTTGTTTTTGTTTTTCAAAACAGGGTTTCTCTAAGTAGCCCTGGCTGTCCTGAAACTCTGTATAGACTGGGTTGGTCTCCAACTCAGAGATCTACCCCCCCCCCTTTACCTCCTAAGTACTTGGATTAAAGACATGTGTCACCACAGCTGGGTTTTTTTGTTTCTTTTGTTTGTTTTTGGAGATAGGATCTCTATTATATAGCTTTCTGGCTGTTCTGGAACTTGTTTATGTAGACCAAAATCACAGAGGTCTATCTGCCTCCCCCTCCGCATTGCTAGGATCAAAGTTCTGTACCACCAAACCCAGCCTGGGAAAATGTTTTGGTGAAAGCAAAAAGTGGGTGTTGGTCATTGAGATGGCTCAGTGGAAAAGGTGTCTATCAAACCTAACTGCCTGAGTTGGATCCCCAGGCCCCACATGATGGGAAGAGAAACTGATTCCCACAAGTTGTTCTCTGAGTGTGGAATACACTCACACCATGGCTCACAGGTGTGTCTTCCCTCTGCTCCACTAAATAAATGTAATAACTTTTTAAATGTTTCCTTTTGCTTTGGGTACAAGAGTAAAAATGCCAGCATTAAATTGATTATTTTAAACACTTCAATGTTCTACCATGAGTTGATGCTGGAGAGATGACTCAGTGGTTAAGAGCAATGCTGCTCTTTCAGAGGACCGGGCTCAATTCCCGGCGTCCACATGGCAACTGAAACCTGTCTGTAACTTCAGTTCCAGGGGGTCTGACACCTTCATACCAATGCACATAAAATAAAGTTAAATGAAATTATTTATTTATGTCTTTGAAAGCAGGTTGATAAAGGCCTACATCTCTGGAATAAAGGCCATAGAAGCTGGGCATGGTGGTGCTTACTTTTAATCCCAGCACTGGGCAAAGGCAGAAGAGTGTCTTGAGTTGGAGGCCAGCCTGGTATACATAGCAAGACATTGGTGGTGCACACCTTTAGTCCCAGCACTCGGGAGGCAGAGGCAGGCAGATCTCTGTGAGTTCAAAGCCAGTCTGATCTACAGAGCAAGTTCCAGGATGGGCTTCAAAGCAATACAGAGAAACCCTATCGTGAAAAACCAAATAAATAACAGTAAAGATTAATGGTGCTCTCCAGGCCAGCCTTATTACACATGCTTCCTAGTTTTCCTAGTTGCACAGTAATCTTCAGCATATGCATCTGCAGCCTTTTTTGTCTTGGCATTTAAAATAATTTACTTGCTGTAGCCATTATCTTAGTGTTGATAAATTGAAAAAAGATTAAAAATACATATAAAACCAGTTCTTTATAAGCTTGTTTGTTGTTGTTGTTGTTTGTGTGTAACTGGAACTAAAGAGATGGCTGAGGATAAAACACCTGGTGCTCTTCCAGAGGACCTGATTTAGCTCCCAGCATGTCACCTATAATTCCAATTCCAGGAGATTTGATGCCCTGTTCTGGCTTCTCTGGATACAAACACATAATAAATAATATTGCATGAAAAGTCAGGCAGTTGTGGCACACACCTTTAATGCCAGCACTTGGGAAGCAGAGGCAGGCAGATCTCAGTGAGTTCCAGGACAGCCAGGACTGTTGCATAGAGAAACCCTGTTTTGGGGAAGGTGGGGGGCAGTAGTCTGTGGAGAACGTAGTTCTAGAATAGAATGCAAATGAAAACTGTCTGTTTCTGTATACAATGTGTGTAAAATGTCTGAAGTTTGAAAGAACACAACAAAATGCCACTAATGGTTATTTCACCTAAGACATTCAGGATTATGGTCTGTGGGGACGTTTAGTCTTATGTGGGGTGGGTATGGGGGTGTTTTTTGTTTTTAAATACAGGAGTATATTTTACCTG